CTACTGATAAGCCTACATTGTTAACATTCTTTAGAACTTCTCAGGATGATTCTGTTGACTGACCCACTGATACTCCTTTACATTTCTTACTGAAGTAATGATACTACATTGACATCGGTAATCAAGTAAGTATTTGATCACGAACTGAATTCAATTAGAGAACCAATGAAAACCTGAGAATACTGGATAGTTGTTTTGTGATTCTCTGTCAGTACACGTCCACGATCTCGAAGGGGATTAAATCTAGGACTTTAAGGATAAAAGGTGAGTTCGTTGGTAGTCCAGCTACTTGGGTGTGACTACTAGGCAATGTAATCAGCGAGTGTTTGTCTTTATTAATTGAGAGAAGACCAGTAGTTCAGTGAAGAGTCTCTTTTCGGCGAATTCATTTTCATAGCTGTACAATCGCAATTATGTATATATACTCATTTCGTATGTGTGTGTACATTAAATTTGTCAAACGGAAGTACGATTAGTAAGTTTTCGGTGGAGTTGTGTAACACAAAACGCGTTTAGAGGAATTGGATGTTTATATAAGAGGGTAGTAACAAAAGTGACGAGTTGTTACAAATGATTGTTAAAGAAGAGTTACGTATTAACATGAATAGTTTGATGAAAGTGTTGTGCTCAGAGTGTACACGGGAACAAAATAACAAGAGTTTTAAGTAGGTAGAAAAATAAGCATACAAACAAAAGTTATTCAAATCAACAAAGTTGTTACCGTGATAGTATAAGTGGCTGAATAATTTTCTTTTGTATGCATAGTTCTGCTTCTTCCAACTGAATGGCTAGGAACTCTGCAATGCTAAGAAAACGAAACCGTATTGCCTCTGGTAGGTTATTCTTGACTCTGTAGATTACTTTGAAGCAGGAGACGCTTGTTGAGATAGAATGATCAGTATTAACCAGGTATTCAATTATCGCACCCCTTATAGCACCACTATTGCCTTTACGCAACCATGCTGGATAGTGTTCTTGAATCCTCTTGAAAAGGATGCACGTTGAACGATCGATGTACCTAGCTCCACAGCAGCAGGTGAACTGATGTATACACATACTACTGGTCAGATGCAGGATCTTAGAGTTGCTGCAAAGAATTTTCTTCTCAGGGACGATGCTATCCTTCTCTTGAGAATATCGCTTGTTAAATCTCCCTTGAAATCCAGGTTCATGTAGAGTTTCTTTATCAGTGCAAGTGAAGTTTCATTTCTCCAAATTCTTGGTTTCATATTTTTTAACAATGAATCTTGCTGGGTATCCATTTTGGATGAAGATTTCCTTCAAAAGATTTAATTTTGTTTCTAGAACAGCGAGACTGCAGATGCTTTGGATGCTAGTGGCAAGGGATGTAATTAAATTCCGCTTTTGCTGAACGATGTTAATAAGCATGCTTAGTATTTTCAACTTTCCTTTATCTCCACTGATTTTCCTGATTGCGGTAGACTGGATAATGTGACAGACAGCGAGTGGGTAGTGGGGAAACAAGCATAAAATGGACACACACAAATTAATTGGATTCCACCGAAGATATATATCTGATTTCCAACAAACTGGAAGATATGCAAGCGAAAAGCAACAGGCTGGTGATAGAAGAAGCATCAGAGATAGGACTTTTGGTGAACATAGTTAAAACAGAGGTGATGAAGATTCCTGGCCAGCAGCGACAGCAACAACAACAGACAACAATCAGCATAAATAGGAGAAATCTGAAAGAAGCAACTTCCCTTACCTACCCACTTAGGAAGCATCGTTTCAACTACAGGTGGAAGGAACTGACGAGGACATCAAAGCGAGGATTATCGGGGAAGCGAGACAAGCTTTCATTGCTCTCAAGTCTGTGTGGAGGTCAACAACACTCATCATGAAAAATAAGATCCGGATTTTCAATTCCAATGTGAAGTCAGTGCTACTTGCTATAAGGATCAGAGACTCGGCGCCGCGCCGCGTGACGAAGGGCACTTCGAATAAACTACAGACCTACATTAACAGCTGTCTTCGCTCAATAACACTCAAGATCGGATGGCCAGCCAGGAAAGATCAGCAACAGGGATCTCCGGAAGTGAACCAGCCTAGCAGAAACCAATTGTGCAACAAATAGGCAGGAAGAAATGGAGGTGGATTGGCCGTACTCTGAGAAAGCCATCCAGCGTCACCATACACCAGGCCATTGCTCGAGTAGGACCAGAATGGGAAGCAGCGAGTTGGTCGTTAGTGCGAGGGTGACATGGAGGAGGTCATGCGAAGAGAAGGTGAAAGCATGTGGGCAGACATGAAGCCAGGTGGAATCGTTGTCGGAGAAGCGAACGCAATGGAAACGTGGGACTGAAGCCTTATGTTCCTCTAGGAATTCAAGGAACCAATAATAATATATCAAACAAAATATGTATTTTTAGTAAGTTTTATGGTATTGTTATTAATTTAAACACTTGGTAGAGTACTCTGTCAGCAAATATGATCCAATAAAATAATAAGGACCAGTTAAAAAAAGTGTATATATTCATATACTCAACCTATTATAGATGATTCCTCTGTCATATACTTCGGTTTTACAATTGTGTAATTCAGTTTTGAAGTTAATTAAATTGTTCAAATGACCAATCAGTGTTGATTTACAGGAATTTGATTGGTTAAAGCTTTGTTAACTAACTGATATTAATTAGAGAACCACTGGTAAACCAAGAAGTACTGAACAGACGTTTCGCCTCAGTTTGGGACTCATCAACCCTCCGGTCATTACGTGAGCTCGTAGATCAGTTAGCTAGTGATCAAATCAGGCCAGTCAATGTTTCATAGTATAAATCACTTCATTTAGTTCGAATGATCGATCGGAGCGGAATCATTTCAATTCCATTAAATGTTAGCTACGTTTGGAATATCCTGGTGATAATCACCAGTGACTGTAGACCTCAGTGATGTAAGCATGAAAGTCGGAAGTAGTAGTGATTCTGTTTGTAGTGATTTATATTTGAGTTTACTAAAGACAGTAAATCTTCAGAATGAACTTATGGCTCTTCATAGAGTATTGATCAATATCCATATTTAATAGGTATACCTTCTGAGAAGATGAACATACTGATAACTGACAAAAAGACTTTAGAATATCTGGACTTCACGGATGAGATATCTTTCATGTCTCATAAAATGGAAAAAAAACATGCAGGCGAAAGACAGAAAGTTGGTGGAAGAAGCAGTGAAGACTGGGTTTCAGATGAACAAAGAGAAGATAAAGGTGAGAAAGAAAGCACCCACCATCATCAGTGGGAGAAGTCGAAAGGAAGTTGTCTCTTTCACTCACCTGGCAATCTAATCAGCATCGTTTCAAATACTGGTGGACGGCATAAATGAAGATATTAAAACCAGTCAATATCCGGGAAGCGAAGCCCTTCTAAAATCAATATGGAAACCCATAGTCCTTAGGACAAGGAATAACAAACGACTTTGTAGCACCAAGGCTAAGGCAATGCTAATATATGGTTTAGAGACTCAAAGCGTCACCGAGATCACTCCCTACGGGCTGCTGAAGACTGTCAGCAATACCTGCCTTCGCTTTGTGCCGAAGCTTTTTCAATCAAACGCTTGAAACTGGATCTATGTGTTCAGAAAGAAGCAGTTATTAGTCTTTCCTTGTCCCGCCTAGTAACTGGATATCTTTATTCTCTCTCTCTCTCTTTCATTTGATTACGCAATCTTTGGCTTTGACCTCACCGCCTTTTATAATTTGTAATTTTGCTTGTCTCTTGTTTCTTTTATTTGAGTTGAACTCAGTACATTGTTACCTAATTTATTAGTCACTCACTATCTTACCCACCTCTCATCTTTATCACGTAACTCCTTCACCATTGTTTGCATACATTTATTTTGTTTAAACTTGAATTGCCTGTGTAGAAGCTATATAAGCGCAATTTTCTGAGCAATGTCCACTAATTGTGGGACCTTTTGTCAACTGACGTCGTGTGAAACTGGCAAGTATGTTAAAACTTTTCTGTGTATAAACCTCATTATTTATTTAGGTTGTAAGCAGCTGAGCTGATGAGAAGCCAAGGAAATACTCAATGATGGTACCACATTATCCTGCACAAACCACACTGTTGTTCTTGCTGGAGATCAGATGGTAAGAATATATATTACTATTATTATTATTCATTCCTTTGCATTCTAAGTGGAATGTAGGGCTCCAAGCATTAGGCTTTGAACCTTCAGTAACGCTGGTGTTTTTACGGCGGGGTGACTCCCACTTCCAACTTACCCTCTAAACCAGGGTCACTATCAGCTTGATAAGCTTTAGGAGTGTGGAGGCTTGAAATCCAACCCTGGACCAAGTGCACTGCAGGCAGGAATTCAACCGCTGAGCCACCAACACACGCTGGAATGGTGGATAGGCGACTAGGAATACTGACAGTCAGTAAATAGCCAGAAGGAACATTATCTGAAGAGATAATTAAAGATTATGAATAGTCATAAACCTGTTGAAATTGGTGGTGCGGGAACGAGTTGTAGCCTGGACATCGAGGCGGATTTATTGTGGACTATTATCGTGTGAAACAGAAATCAGAACTAAGTTGTAGTCATTCTCTATGGCTGATATTTAACACAGGATGATGGTTAGAATTCCTATGAAAATTCTGGCCTTCTTTCAATATTTCAGGATTTATTTGAGAATTTTAACCATTTTCAATGTAGGTTTCGTTCTAAAAAAACAGATATTATTCAGGAGAGTCATTGTAAACAACTAGTCAGCTGTTTCGTCCTTTATAGGAAGTCATCAGGAATGCGTACTTCAGTAGATTTAGAAATTAGTCTTTTTCCTATATAATCAGAAGACAAGAAAAATATGTAACCACTTTACTGTACTTTTGTGGTTGTGTGTGTACTTTAAACAGTCATGTGCTTTCTCTCTCTCTCTTTCTCTGTACTTAAGATTTAAGTATACTAACAAGCAAGGATATGATTGGTCAACACTGTTATTATTGTCGTGATGTTGCTAAGCAATAAGATAACTTACCTTTTTTAAATAAAAGAAACACATTCAAGTAGTTAGAGTTTATTTAAAATGGCTAGATATGAAGTAGATTCAGAGGAAGCCTATACGGCATATTTAAGTGGACGTGAGTAGTTCTCATTTGAGTCGTTTTCATTTTGTGAAACTTGTTACATTTCGTTTATAATAATTTTGCTACTTTTACATCATAAGTTAAGATGAATGGGTACTCGGCGTTAGTGTCCTGAAGGAAAAATAGTTTAGTTATGGTGGGATGTTATTTGGTGAATGGTGGTCAGCACTGGAATCCAGGATAAGCAGGCGGCCCATTTTCGTCGGAAACGATGAATGCTGGGACCTTGACTTCAAATGGAAGCATCTTAATACAGTGAACATTGCAAGGATATCCAGCTGATGAGTCCTAAATGGGATGAAGTGAGTATCCTTCATTTCGCTGCTAGTCAGCACTCATTAAATAACATCATTGGTAATCATTCCTTAAACATCGTGAACGACTTCGTACTAGGAGAGCAATCAACGGGAAATGTATAATTTAATTTAAACAAATGGTGGTACAGCGGTTAGGACGCTCGCCAACAATGCAAATGGTCCGGGGTTCGATTCCCGGCCGACGCATCCCTTTACCTCACTAAGTCAGTAATAAAGCTGGTAGAGAGGAAAGGTTGGGCATGAGGCTAGCAACCCCATCCTGTAAAATTAAACACTGCTACCGAAACTTCAAGCCTCTAGCTTGAAGCCTTATGTTCCATTGGGAACGTGAAGGAATAAAAAAAAATGGATATAAATTTATTTCACTCGATGCTTGGATATTGTACAAGGTTTATTCTGTCAAGTCATATGTGAAGGTTTTCTGTCTTTCAATAACAGTTGAATTTCAAATGATGGTTTGCAGGGATTTGATTGGTTACAGGATTTCATCATGAGCTGACGATGGTTAGAGAACCATCGGAAAACCTGGGAGTACTGCAAGGCGGCTGTTTCACCCTAGTTTGGGACTCTTCATCAGTACGCATCCACAGGGGTTCGAACCCAGGGCCTTCTGGTTACTAGGCAAGCTCGTAGACCATTAAGCCTCTGGGACTCGATCCAACGGCCAGCCAGCCCATGAGTTCTAACTTCTGCCAATTCACGACATAGCGCGACCACTAACCAATGTCTTCGGCGAGTATTTGTCCTCACACCCGACCTGCTGCACCTTACTGGTCACGAATTCTCACTGGAACTACCTACCTGAAAAGGGCTTTGTAACCAGAAGGTCCTGAGTTCGAACCCAGAGTCCCAAACTAGGGCGAAACAGCTGTCCAGTACTCCCAACTGGTTTTCCAATGGTCCTCTAACCAATGTCAGCTCATGATGAAATCCAGTAGTTGAATTTGTATTGGATCACTTTCAATTAGATGACATTCAAAAGTTTAAAGTAAATCAGGTAAGGATATAACCTGTCTTAAATCAAACTTTCCGCGCTTCAGTACATTTCAGTACACTTGTAGGGGGAAAAACGAAAGCGATCAATAAGTACCTTGAATCTCCTCAGTCATAATGCTGTTGTCTAACAAGAATTGGAAGTGGAAGGCAGGTCTTCATCACTCTGAAATCAGTTTGGAATTTCTTCTCCACTCAACCAGCGTAAAGAACAAGAGTCAGAATTTCCACACCAGTGTCAAGTTCTCTTATACTGGTTGGAAACTTGAGGCGTGAGTTATGAAAAGCATTCCCAGCAGGCTACTACAGTCTTTCATCAACATCCGTCTTTGTTGGCTCCATATTGAAGATCGGCTGGTAGGACAGAGAGAATTAGTAACAAGAAACGATGGAAACGAATTAACAAAGAATCGATTACTCAAAAGATATGTAGGAGAAAATGGAGAGAGAGATCGGACACATGTTGAGGAGACCGTCGAATAACATCACTCGCCAGCCAGGCCATTGCCTGGGTGGAATCCGAATGGGAAATGGCCAGTTGGGTATCCGAAGGTGACATAGGGGAATTCGTGCAATCAGGAGATCACAGATTATGGGCAATTGTAGGGTCAGCTAAACGGGACTGTAGAAAGTAGGACAAACTGGAGATGTGCTGTTAAAGCCCTATGTTCCACTCGGAACCCAAGGGAACAATAATAAAAGTAATAACAGTAATAATAATGTCGCAACCATTGGTTGTTTTAAAGGTGAGTCATAAGAAAAAGGCATACACAGCAACGAAAGTTTTCTTTTCGACGATCCATTTTCATAAGCTGCTGTACAATCGTAATTATATTTTACATAGAAATCATAAGACGATCAATCAGATACGGGTAAAATTTATCCTCGGAAAATGTATTACGTAACGTAAGGTTTAACCTAGGAGGGATGACTAAACTAGAAGTTAGAAAAGGGAATGGAAGTTGGTGTGACGCAACAATTGTGGGAAAATGACTAATCAATAAGATTGTGAAGAATGGACAGGAACTAGTGGAAAAATGATACAGTGTTTTTAATATAAAATCTATATGAAAACGCAATGTTATTAAAGGTATTTTACCAACTTTTTATGCAGCCAGACTGTCTGTTGTGACATTTTACTACACTATGTACAAAAAGACCTCGCTACTACTACTTTTATTCTCACTTGATAAATCTAAGCCTTCAAAGTTTGAAGATTTGGTGTGTACTACTGATGAATCTTATCAGTAGTACACTCCACATTGTCACTGAGAGAAGTGGTCCCGTTTATACCATCAAAAGAGGAAATAAGCCGAAATAGGTTCACATCAGCCAACTGCAGAAATGCATACAGTGGGATAAGGAAGCCGGGACCAAAGTACAACAGGAAGGGGTAGAACCAAGCACGTCGGAACGGCTGTGTTCGAAACTATTTGATGGGGAGACGAGTGTGGCGTGTGATACTGATAAGACTTATCAGTAGTATATAAACACACGTCCTTTGGCACAAAAGCATCAAATAGTAGGCAGATAAATTTGATGTTAGAGAAAGAAAACAACTCAGTGGTGTGGAGAAACACGGGATACGTGAAAGGAAAACAAAGAAATACAATATGAAGGTAGGCTTGAAGTAGCACAAAGGGGAAGATCTGCGCAAACGGTGAGTTGAAAATGGGGTATACATAATTCCGAATATACTATTTATTTATTGTTCCCTTGGGTTCCTAGGGGAACATAGGGCTTCAACTACACGTCTCCACTTGCTTCTGTCTTCTGCTGTACATTTCACCTGCATCCATGTTAATCCATACTGTTTCAACTCCTCTTCACACGACCTTCTCTATGTCACCCTTGGACGTCCCACTCGCCGCTTCCCTTTCGGGTTCCACTCGAGCACTGGCCTGACGCGCGATGTCACCCAACGGCCTCCTCCTCAGTGAGTGTCCAATCCATCTCCACTTTCTCCTGCATATTTGTTGGGCGATTGGTTCTTGTTTTCTTTCTTTGTTCCCATAGTTTCTTGTTGGTGATTCTTTCTGGCCATCTGATCTTCAGTATAGAATGAATACAGTTGTTGATGGAGGTCTGCAACAGGCTGCTGGAAATATTCTTTGTGACCCGCCAAGTTTCTGATCTGATCCGTATAGAAGAACTGACTAACTTGACGTTTGTATTGAAAATCCGAAGTTTGTTGTTGTTGATGCTGAGTGACGAAGATTTCCAGATTGATTTCAGGTTGATGAATGTGTTTCTCGCCTTCCCGACTCTCGATTTGACATTCTCGTCCGTTCCGACTGCCTGTAGTTGAGACAATGCTCCCTAGATGATAAGTGAATGAAGTAACCTCTTTCAAATCCCTCCCGTTGGTGGTGATTGGCGCTGGATGTTTCTGCTGTTGCTGTTATTGTTGTTGTTGGTTATTTTCATAACTTCCGTCTTGTCTATGTTCACCTGGAGTCCTGTCTTTGTTGCTTCTTCGACCAGTTTGTCGGTTTTCGCTTGTAATTCTTCGATTTTGTGTGACATCAAACATAAATCATCCACTCGCGAAATCCAGGTCTTCTATGTTCTTCACGTCGGTCCAGGATATCCCTGTCTTCTCGTTTCCCACTGTCTGACGCATAATTCAGCCCACCAATTCGGCATATACTGAGACATCAAATTGCAAATAAACATTCCTTTTATTCAACCAATGAATTTCTGAATGTTGAAGTCTATTTAAAATTAAATTGAATCCTCATTAAAATAGTTTATGCTTGAACAAACCAAAACTAAATTTCCTCTTGAAGAGCAGTACTCAACTTTTTAGTCTGTGGTGTTAAGTAGATGGATGTTTCTTCTAGTTAGGGGAATCCAGGATTCGCATTTCTTCCTATCTGGGACTCGTCATCTGGATGTATTTGACTTCCCACCCGAGGAGTAGTGTACTCACTGAGACACTAACCGTACACCAATGGTTCCAAACTCCAAAATAATATCTACTACACCACCTAGGCTGCAGAAGCTACCTGTTGAATAACAGACACCAGTTAATATTTGTTTAAGGGAATTTTCATATTCGGCTTCTGTTGAAATGTTACCTCATAGTAAGGACGTTTCCACGATGTCTGAGAATTAACGTTGGCGTTATTTAGTGGATGATGACTAACAGTGGAATCCAGGATGCATATTTCACTCTAATAGGGATTCGTAAAGTGTAAGTGATATTCATACCTGTTGGTAGTCAAACATGATCTGTCTAGGATCTAATGTAATCACATTCTATTCACATTTAAGTGTATTTCACATGAACTCATTGGATAAATATTCAACAGGAGGAAAGAGCTAAAAATTATCAATATCTTATATTAAAATATACCTTCGAGTTTTTTATTCATGTATTGGTTTTGTAGGGATTTCGTTTGAATGGTTGGAGGATTTCATCACGAGCTTACATCAGTTAGAGAACCATTGGAAAACAAACAGGGATTACTACCAGACAGTTGTTTCATCATCCCAGATTGGGACTCTTCAGTAGTACGCACCCACCGCGATCTTCTGGTTACAAGGTGAGCGAGCTCGTAGATCATTAGGCCACTGGGACCTGCCCTATCCAATGCCCAGCGCATGAATCCTAGTTTCTGCCAACTCACTACATAGCGCGACCACTTTGCAATATCTTCCTCGATGAGTTACACCTTCACC